ACGAAGTGTCCCACATCGGGGCCAGATTTTCCACATGTGCTCCAGAGCTTCTGCCTTCTCATAGAAACTGGTCATCCCCTACCTGTCTGTATCTTCACCTCTCTCTCCTCACTGTCCTTCACATTATTATCTAAACAAGCTCTCGTAGTTCCCATCAAAACACAAATATATTGATTCCACATTCTCCCACTGCTGCTGCACCTTCCTCCACACGCTCCCAGCCAATCTCCCAAAGTTTGGGCCGCCTTGGTCATCTCCACTGCCTCATTTCTCATTTGCCCTCAGCCCACTGCAAGCGGAGCATCCAGTGCAAAAGCTCCACACAAAGCCAGCATCAGCCTCCATGGTGGTCAATCCTATGCCTGCTTCCCAGTTCAGCCTTATCTCACCTCTCGGCAGCATTCAACAACATGTACCATTCCTTTTTGGAACAGTCTTTTCTTTTGTGTTCCAGAATTCCACCTTCTCCTGATTTTCTTCTTAGCTGGCTTCTCCTTTGGCAGTTTGTTCTCTGCCTGACCTTTAAACGTTAGAGCTCCTCAGGGCTTGGTCTGAGGCCATCTTGTCTTTTCCCTGAACCTCTTTATGACTTCATCTGCTCTAAAATGCCACTCATTCTCAAGGCTTTATTCCAACCCAGATTCCTGCTGAGCCCCAGACCTCCTTAGACTGCCACTGCCGAGCATTCTGCCTTGCACCTCTTCTAGGCACCTCAAGCCTAACACGTCCCAACTTAGAACCCTTGATCTTGGGACGTCTCTGCTGATCCAGTGGTTAAGAATATGCCTTCCAAAGCAGGGGATGAAGGTTTGATCTCTGGTTGGGGGACCAAGATCCCACATGCCACTGGGCAACTAAGCCCACGTGCTATAACTAGAGAGAGGCCTGTGTGTCACAACCAAGACACAACGCAACCGAATAAAATAAATAAATGTTAAAAACCAAACAAAAACTCGATCTTCCTCCCCAAATATATCCCCTCTCAACTGCTCTGCTCTCAGTAAATGGCACTCCCAAGCCACCAGTACTGATAGTTATGCACATGGTTGTCTACCATCGTCTCTCCTGCATACACTAAGCTCCCTGCAGGCAATGGAGGGCACACAAACTCAAGGCTGTATCACCAGGGCCTAAGACACCACTGGGACTCAATAAATATTTGCTGACTGAGTTAAAAGTAAGGAAGCGTATTAGTACAGAAACCAAAGTGAGAGGAAGCAGTGTCAGATGCCTTATAGAGATAAACAAAACTGGGTTCTAGTCTGAGGCTGCTAGTTTTCTAAATGACTTTAGGGAAGTCTCCTTGCCCATATGTAGATTAAGAGGAAATAGAAGTAAATTATAAGGTCCCTTCCAAATTCTAATTGACATCTATTATCTACTGTTAATATATTACTGAATTGGTGAGTGCACATAAACGGAATTTGTGCATAACTAAGAATGACTTTTTAAAAAATTTCCTTTAAAAATTGGTGCTTTGATGGGAATTCCCTGGTGGTCCAGTGGGTTAGGACTCCGTGCTTTCACTGCTGGGGCCCAGGTTTAATCTCTGGTTGAGGAACTAACGTGCTTCCCCCATGGTTCAGATGGTAAAGAATCTGTCTGCAATGCAGGAGACCGAGTTCCATCCCTGGGTTGGGAAGATCCCTTGGAGAAGGGACTGGCTACCCGCTCTAGTACTCTTGCTTGGAGAATCCCTTGGACAGAGGAGTGGTTTGAAAACTATTTGTAATGCCTTTAACAGAGGCTACATAAAAAGTGTTTGGAATCTGTTTCCACTATTTTAAATGGGAACAGTGCCAGTACTTCATAATATTTTCGTGATTAAATAAGCGTGGAAATCAATAAATACGAGTTGTTATTACAGTGTCATGCAGCCCACTGGACAACGCGGGGACATTGCCTGGGCAGGACTTTTTTCACAGCACACCTGAATTCTCAGGAGCTAGCCCGGCCCCTACTCCTCCCTGCTCTGTTACCGTCAGAATGGCCGCCCTTTCCTCTATCACCTTTGAGACCCGCTGCCCGGCATCTCTCTAACCCCGCCCCCCACAGGGGCGTGGCCTCACAGACAGGGGCGGAGCCAAGGCGGAGAACTGGGGCGTCGAGCTCCTCTTCCCAGTCTGGAGCCGCCCAATCCGGGAGGGCGGGTCACGTGACCAGCCAGGGGCTTCACCCTCCCCTCTGCCGGTACCACCTCTGCCAGCCCCAGGGGGGGATGTCTTGCGTCTTTTCGGGAAGCAAAGCATTTGTTTCGGTCCGTTCTGCTTGAGAATAGCGGGGAGAACTATCTTTGATGTGACAGGGTCAATCTTTGCCGCTTAAGTGATATTTTCCCTTCCGGCCTCCCCCCACCGAGCAGTTGGTCTCGCCCAGCCGGGCCCTGGGCGCGGCGGCGACGGCCGCGTCACTGGCGGGCGGGATCCCTCCGCTCTGGGGAGAGCAGCGCTGGACGGTTGAGTTGGGGTGACTGAGGAAATCCATCCGCGTCGCCGCTGCCGCCTCCGCCGCGGAGGAAGACAGGACCTCCCGCGCTCCTCTAGCGACCCTTCGCAGAGTCCCACCGCCACAGGTACCTCCGCAGATAAAAGGAGTCCTCATCCCCCCCGCAAGCCCCAAATTCCCATGGGGGAACCTCTCTTCCGTCTGTCTCCCCGGTCTGGCCTCTCGGGAGCGGACGTAACTCTCCAGACCTCCCCTCCCTTCTTTTGGCCCCGTCGCTTCCAAACCCGGAAGGGGAACAGGGGGACCCTCGCCCCCAATTAACGCACGCGCTCCCGGCACCATCGGGGGGTGTTTCGCCTGGCCCCAGACCCCATCCTAGCCCCACCTGCCTCTTGCTCCCTGGGAAGTTGGGGGTCTAAATTCGGGGCTTCCTCTAGGCCCCGTCCCGCCCCCTTTCCCCACCACTACCACCCTCCTGCCGGCCCCTGAGTAGCGCCCCTCGTGTCTTCGCATTTCGCACCCCCGCCGGCGTTCGTCTTGCAAAACTCCAGAATCCTCAGAGAGGCAGGCAAGGCCGCGAGGCTGTCCCTCCCTTCGTCTCTCCTCGATTTGGGTTCTGCCCCGTGTTTTTTGGCCCCATTACCCTGAACCAGACACCTCGGCACCCCATTCCCTTTAGTAGTCCTGACCCCACGCTTGGCTCCCAGCCGACCTCCCACACACACACACCTAGCTATCTTTTGGGCAAAATGGAGGTCGTGGGGGCCGGAGGGCCAGGCCCACTGCGCCTCGCAGCGCGGCACCGGCCCGCGCCTTCCAGCTGCCAGATCCAGGGACCCTCCCTTGTCCCCTCCCCTTGGCCCCGCCAGACCTGCGGAGGCGGTGGCACCCACATTTCTCCTTGGGACCCCGGCTGCTGTATGCCCAGAGTCCGGGGCCGCCGAGGGGGGCCCTGGAAGGTGATGGGGATTGAGGGCTGGGAGCGTCGCCCCCGCCCCCAGCGGCTTCCTCCTGGCCTGCTGCTTCCTTCTGGCCTGCTGCTTCCTTCTGCCCGGGGCGTCTGGCGTTACCGCCCGGCCTGGGCTGCCGGCAGCTGGAAGGAAGGGGCTTTGTCTGGAGCTGGGGAAGTAGGGTGGGGAGCTCTGCCCCCACTCCTTTCTTTGGAGGGGCGTCCTCTGGCGCTGGCGTAGAAATCTGAACAGACCAAGGGGAAATGTCAGTGGGGAAGAGGAACGCCCAGGGCCTGGGGGAAGTGGGACCCGGGGCAGGGGATTGGGGGGACGCCTGGGTCCGCAGAGTGCTGTGTGCATGGCCAGATCACACAGGTGTCCAAAGTGGGGGGGGGGGGGTAGGACTCCGGGCCCTGGAGCAGAGCCATCCAGGCCCCTGGGGCCCCGGGCCGAGCTCGCGGCAGGGCTCTAGGGGAGCGGAGGGCGCAGGGGCTAGCCCTCCTGGGGCCGCCCGCTAAGCCCGCCCGCCGGCGCCTGGGAGAGAGCAGCTCCGCGCTTCGGGGCCCAGGACCTCTCTTCTGAGACCTAATTACCGGAGAGCGGCTCCCACGGGCTTTCTGCGGGCGCGCCGGGGCGGGTGGCCTCGGCGCTGAAGGGAGCAGCGGCTTGGGGCTGCCTTCCCCGCCACCCTCGCCTCCACCCGCCGCGGGCGGCTAATGGGGCGCAGCCGGCCCAGGGATAATCCGGGGTGAGCCGTCCCGAACCTATTAGTGCCCAATCGGCTTTCCCCAAATCCTATAAACAGCCACCTAGGCCGTCTCCGGGAGGGGCGGGAGGCTGGGTCGGGCGGGGGCGATGAGGCCGGGGGTGGGGTCACCCACCCTACAGGTCTCAGCCGTAGATGCGGTTGCCCTGGCAACCGGGCTAGGGTGGGGGCACTTCACCAATGATGTGCTCTCAGTCCGGGTGACGGTTGCCTAGGCAACCCCACGAACAGCCCAGCTTTCCCCTGTGGTCTCCCCCACCCCCAGTCGAAGCTGGGGGTGTGTGTGTGTGTGGAGGGTGTGCGGCGTATAGGGGTGAATTTAACGAGGCACCGCCCCTTTTAAAATTAGGTGCTAGGAGGGCGGTGCCTGTGCGGCCGGGGCGGACGCCGGGTCTCTGTTCGAAGGGACTCTCCCCGGCACCCCTCCTCCGCCAGCCCCCCAGTTCCTGCCACGGGTGTCCCGCCCGGGCTGCTGTCCGAGGGAGGGGTTTCCCTTGCGCTTCCTCTTGCACTTCTCGCTCCGTTTCCGGGGGGCGGGAGAAAGATTGGGGAAGTCAGCTGTTGCTCGGGTCACAGCTACGTCTCTCCGGGCCAGAGACCCGGGCTCTGCCCCGGGGAACCGCGGCCACTGCTGGCGCCCCTCCCCCTCCCACCCACCGGTGCTTACCCCTTCCGGGCCGCGCTTCGGCCCCGCCTTTACCCCCGCTTCCCCGGCGGCCTTGGGCCTGACGTCAGTCCTGCATCCCCCAGGCCTCGGGCCAGCGGCGAGGAGCTGCCTCCCCCAACCCCCGTCCCGCGGCCCCCAGCCGCCCCCAACCCCGCCCCACGGGCCCGGCGCCATGAGTGAGCTGGAGCAACTGAGACAGGAGGCCGAGCAGCTCCGGAACCAGATCCGGGTGAGGGCCTGGCGGGCAGCCGAGCGGGCAGGGCCCGGTGGCTTGTGTGTACCGGGCCAGGGGAGGCACGGGAGGGGTGTGTGTGTCTGCGTGGTGGGGGGCAGTACCCTAATCTCTTCCTGTCTCATCCTTTTCATTCCCTTGTCTTCCCTTCTTTTTTCTCTCCTCCCCATCTTCCCTGCCTCTCTGACGGGCTCTGCCATCTCTTATAGGATGCCCGAAAAGCATGTGGGGATTCAACACTGACCCAGGTGAGAGGAATCAGGGCTGGACTTGGCTTTAGGGAAGGAGTTCAGGTGGGAGGCATATTTCTCCGTGGGCCCTGCCACCCGAACCTTCCTGAGCCCATTCTGCCTCCACCTCCAGATCACAGCTGGGCTGGACCCAGTGGGGAGAATCCAGATGAGGACACGGAGGACCCTCCGTGGGCACCTGGCCAAAATCTATGCCATGCACTGGGGGACAGACTCAAGGTGGGTGAAGTTGGGGCTGTGTGCTGAGCCATCGTGTTCACCCTGGGCTGAGGCAGGGTGGGCAGGGGCCGCCTTGCACATCGGGCGCCTCAAACAGGATGCCCGTGTTGGCAAGTCAGTTTGGGAAGACCTGACTCCCAGGTGCCCCCAGGGGCCGGGGAAACAGTACCAAACCAAGCGAGGAACCTCTGGGCTGCTGCCGGAAGTTGTCTCTCACCAGATGGGAGGGGGGAAGGGTGTCCTGCCTCCAGAGGGGCCTTCCCACCCTGACCCCGCTGGCTCTCCTGCCTCACTCCCGCAGGCTGCTGGTCAGCGCCTCCCAGGATGGTAAGCTCATCATCTGGGACAGCTACACCACCAACAAGGTAGGGGCGGCGCCTGCGGCTGACGGGACAGGGCTGTGGCGCCGGGCCAGCTCTCACCCTGGGCACTACCCCTCGCTCCCAGGTCCACGCCATCCCGCTGCGCTCCTCCTGGGTCATGACCTGTGCCTACGCGCCCTCAGGGAACTTCGTGGCCTGCGGGGGGCTGGACAACATCTGCTCCATCTACAGCCTCAAGACCCGTGAGGGCAATGTCAGGGTCAGCCGGGAGCTGCCTGGCCACACCGGTGAGTGGGCCTGGCTGTCCCGGGCCCTGTGGTGGGGGGCAGGGGCTGCGCCGGCCTCTGACAGCCCCCACTCACCAGTCGCTTCCCTCAGGGTACCTGTCGTGCTGCCGCTTCCTGGATGACAACCAAATCATCACCAGCTCTGGGGACACCACCTGGTGAGGCCCTGCCAGCGTCAGGCAGCTGAGGCTCACCCTCACTTCCTGCTGGGGCGGGGCGGGGGAACACCGCCTCAGGGCTCACGCGGCAAGTAGTGCATCCCCTGCTCCAGCAGCGGCAGCGCCCTCCTTGTGAACCCCTCTGCCTCTTTTTCTGGAGGCAGGAAGGAGGGACGAGGGTGGGACCCCTCCTCACCTGGGGCAGGAGTAGGCGCTGGCTGCCAGCGCTCCCAGCGCTGAGGCGGACTTGGGCCTGGGCTCAGGCGGTGGGGGGTAGGGCAGAGGGCATCTGTCCTCACCCCTCTCTGACCCTTTCCTTCCTCCCATCACCTCTCCAGTGCCCTGTGGGACATTGAGACCGGTCAGCAGACAGTGGGCTTTGCCGGACACAGTGGGGATGTGATGTCCCTGTCTCTGGCCCCCGACGGCCGCACCTTCGTGTCGGGCGCCTGTGACGCCTCCATCAAACTGTGGGATGTGCGGGACTCCATGTGTCGACAGACCTTTATCGGCCACGAATCTGACATCAACGCCGTGGCCGTAAGTTCTGGGCGAGCTGGGTCGGCCCCTCTCTGCCAGGCTCCCGGCCCTCCCTGCGGCCTCACCCCACTCTGGTCTTATGTCCTGCAGTTCTTCCCCAACGGCTACGCCTTCACCACGGGCTCGGATGACGCCACATGCCGCCTCTTTGACCTGCGGGCCGACCAGGAGCTCCTCATGTATTCGCACGACAACATCATCTGCGGCATCACCTCTGTTGCCTTCTCGCGCAGCGGCAGGCTGCTGCTCGCGGGCTACGACGACTTCAACTGCAACATCTGGGATGCCATGAAGGGCGACCGCGCAGGTGAGACCGGGAGCTGAGCAGGGGGACAGGCAGGGACAGGGGAACCGGGCCGGAAGGGTTCTGACGCCCCCTTCTGCCCCAGGTGTCCTCGCAGGCCACGACAACCGTGTAAGCTGCCTCGGGGTCACTGACGATGGCATGGCTGTGGCCACAGGCTCCTGGGACTCCTTCCTCAAGATCTGGAACTAACAGCCCCGACCCCAACTGGGCCCAGGCTAGGAGGGGCCCTGCCCGTGCCCACACTACAGGCCGGGAGCTCTGGGGCTGGGTGCACACCGAGCCTCCCTCCCCGGGCCACGGGGCCTTGGGTCCCTGCTCCCCTACCCAGGTTTGGTTCCTCCCGGGGCCCCCACTGTGGAGATTAAGATGGGGATAGGATGGGGAAAGAGGAGGGGCAGAAGGCCCTCATCCTTTCGCTGCCCTGGGGTTGGGGCCTCATCCCGCTGGAGGGCCAGAGGCAGGAGGTGGAAACTCCAGGGGCTGGCTTTTTTTAAAACTGGTTTTATTTTAATTTTTATTATATTTTCAGTTTTTCCATAAAGGAACCAATTCCAACTCTGTACCTGGTCTCTACCCTTGCTTGTTGTCTTCCTCACTGTAGTCTCAGCTTCCAGCGGCAGAGGGGGTGGGGGTGGGGGTGGCCCCGAGTAGCAGTCAGAGGCTCCCTCAGTCAGAGGCCGGATCACAGGCAGGACCACCTCCTCAGGGTCGAAGGTCACGGGCATCCCACAGGCACAGCGCCTCCGGTTTCTGGTCTGGCTGCCCCCCACCCAAGGCTCATTCCCAGCTCTTTGAGTTGTGTCTGTCATTCCCAGCGTCCCCTTTGCCCAAGGAAAAAACTCAAGAAGCAGATGGGGAGAACACACACCAAGTTTTATTGGGAGGGAGTATTTACAGAGGCAGGTAGAAGAGAAGGGGTCACATGGGGTGGGGGAGACTGGGGGTACAAGGCAGACGACAGGTTACAGAATGGCCCCTGCACCCACCCTAACCCCAGGACGGGCGGGCGGGCACCAGGGGCCCAGGAAGACGGGCTGGGGAAGGACAGCAAGGGGCGGAGCCCCTGGGCTGGGGGGCTCAGGGGCTTGTAAACATTGACCACTCTCAGAAGGGGATGGGGGTGGGAGAGGGCTCCCCCTACACTTCCTCACAGGGTTAAGGCCTCTCCAGGCTCAAGGGCCCCCTAAATTCAAAGTCTCTTTAGCTGGGGGGGAAGGGGAAGGAAGAGACAGGGAAGAGTGTCACCCCCCCCCTCCCCCTGCATTGGCTGCGGCAGGGGCGGGGGCAGTTACATTCAGTCACAACAGTACTCCCCCCACACCTCTAATGCCGCCAAACACTGGCTTGAGGAAAGGGGGAGCTGGGGGGCCAGCAGCAGCAAGACGTTTCCCCCTGGCCCATCACCCCCTTATTGCTTTAGAGAGAATACAATATTGTCTTTTCACGGACGCTAACACTGTTGAAACCAGGGAGAAGCAGGTGGAGGGGGCCCCTCCACCCCCGAGGCCAGCTTTATCCCCCGACACTGACCCAGTTGCCACTTTGGTGCAAAAAAAAAAAAAAAAAAGAAAAAAATGTCGTTTCTCTGGGGATAGATGGGGAAAGAAAATGGGAGCTACTCCCCATTTCCCCAGGGCAGGAAGGATAAATACATTCATGGAGGGGAGGCAGTGGCAGAATCTTGCCCTAATACTGCGCTCTGAGCAATGAGGTCCATGGGAGAAGTTAGATGAGAAACTCAAAAGATACAACAAACTTAAAAAAAGAAAACCCACGAATGGAGACAAACCTAGGTAGGTGATTGGGAATAAAAAGTTGGTAAAGGGCAGCCTACCCCAACCCAGGAGAGAGACACTCCCGTTCTTGACACCGCCCCCCCCAACATTTAAAAACGTCAGGGGAGCAGGGAGGGAGCGGTCACTCCACTCCCGTTTGGTCAACAGAGGGGTCAGGGCAGAGCTGGGTGGTCCACATCCCACATAGGTGGCTGCAGGTGGGGGGGCTCCCTCCGAACAGCCCCGCGCTGCAGCCCAAAGCCCCTAGCGGCCCACTCCCGGGGCCTCTCTGGCCCCTCCTCTGCCCCCTTCACAGGAGAAACAACAGTTAAGTGGTGCCTCTCTCCAGCTCCTGGAGGAACTGCTCTGCCCCAGCCTAGCTCAGGGTTGAGGCGGGGGCGCAGCAGGGGCTCGTGGCCCAGGGAATACATTCATGTGGCAAGGCAGGGAGCCGGGCCTCTCAGCTTCACACCCAGGCCGGCCCCCCGAATGGCAGCGGCCGGGGACGCCTCTCACCAGGGCCAGAGTGGGAGTTCTGCCGGCCTGACGACAGCCAGATGAGGTTGGCACCACAGGCCCTCCCATTCACTCCGTCGGCCGAAGCAGGATGGCCGCCTGGGGCGCCGAGGCGGCCTCACGCATTTGTGCAACTTTCCCCGAAGCAGCAAAGCCAAGGGGCTACTCTGGCCAGGCCCCCTGGCCCCAGACACCTCTGCCACAGTCACAGCACAAGGGGGCCGTTCACAGCGGGTCCGGCCGGCGGGGCTGAGGGGGCCTCGCTGTGCAAACTGCTGGCGCCCCAGCTTCCAGTTACCCCAGTGGCCCGCCTTGGGGCGGGGAGGGTAAGTGCAGCCTCAGGGGCCAGGCAGGAAGGTCTGTGGGCCATGTCCCCAGTGCCCCAGATAACAGTGTGTTTTTACTTTCAGTCTCCTAACCATTTTTTTTTTTTGTTGTTTTTCTTTTTTCTAAAAAAAAAAAAAAAAAAAAAAAAACCAAAAAACAAAAATCTCTGTGGATTTCCATTATCACTCCCACTATCCGACAAAGGAAAAGGGAGTGCTTAGAGTCTACTTCTTAACCATTTTTTTTTTTTTGTCTCTCCTATGTTTCCTTCAATGTCATTTAAAATTAAAACCAAAAATACAAACAAAAAAAACCCTTCCCCCCAATCTGTAAAGTGCCTCGTGGTGGGTGAGTTAAGGTGCATCGTGTGGTTTGTAACAAGTGCTGGGGACCCTGCCCCTGCTTCCTCCTATGCTCCCCGTGAGGAGCCTGCAGACTGGGGACCGAGGGGTCCAAGCCGCTGCTGCTACCCCTGGCCTACAGCCCAGGGTGCTGGTGGGACGGGCTGGTCAGTAGTCATCCACGCTCTCGATCTCACCAGAAGGTCCGTGCAGAGAGTACCCTGAAGCCAGGGGAAGCTGGGTTTGAGCTTGCCCATCCAGGCTCCTGCCCGGTTCGGAGGAAGGAGCCGCCTCCCCGCTCCACACTCACCCAAGATGCTGGGGTCCGAGTGCAGCATCAGCGCCCGCCTCTTGGCCTTGCTGCCCTCCCCGGGGCCGAGCTTGGTGCTGTGGTTGGTCTGAAAGGCTGTCTGCAGGGAGCCACTGCTCAGCCAAGCCTCCTGCAAAGCAACAGAGAGGAAAGAGGGTCAGGGGACTCTGGGCACCCTCACTGCCTCCAGCCAGGGCTCTGTGAAACCTCACCTGCTGCTGCCGCTGCTGGCTGGCCTTCTGCTTGGCCCTCCGCTCCAGGAATTGTTTGGCAAATTCTTTGGCTTCCAGCGTGTCCCCCAGGCAGGAACGGATATAGTCGTGGACGTCATAGGGGGATTCCACCTCCTTGAGGATTGCTACAGCCATGGGCACTGTGGGGCAGGATGGGGGGTCAGGAGCCACAGGACGGCGTCTGGAACCCCTGGCCCGGCCTCCTGGGGTAGGTGTGCCGCTGTACCATCCAGGCTGCCCGTGGTGCTCAGCGTGTGCAGCATCTGCTCGCACCACTGGGTGAAGCCGTCCTGGGGCCGGGGGATGCCCTGCAGCAGCTTCAGCAGCCTCTCCTCCTCCTCCGTCTTCTTGCGCACAGGCCGGCCAGACAGGTGGCTGTACGAGTCACTGCGCGGGACGGGGTGAGTCAGGGGGTCCCCTCAGGAGGCCCCCCCACCCCGCCAGGGGCCAGCGCCCACCTCAGAGAGGGGCTGCTGCGGCTATTCTTCAGGCCCAGGCTCCGGGCCAGGCTCCCGCTGCTCTTGAGGGTGTCTTCCCAGAGTCCCAGGCCACTGCTGCCCCCACTCTTGTCGGGCCCGCCCCACAGTGGCCCGGCCTCAGATACCCACTGGTTCAGGGGGGCGGCGCCCAGGCCCCCGAGCTGCTGCAGATGGCAGGAAGTCAAGGGTGACCCCCACAGGAGGACACATGCTCAGGGGCGCTGAGCGGGGAGGTGCGTTCAGGTGGCAAAGGCAGGGAGAGGTGAGGGCCTCATGGCAGAGCGTGCCTCTGGAGTCTGACAGGGACCCACGCGCCCCCCCACCCCGGGTCACCCTGGGAGCTGACCAGAAGGTGCCCACCAGCCTGCTCACCACACGGTGGTTGGGGGCCTGGGCCCGCGATGGCTCCCGAGGCGGAGGCTGCTTATGCAGGTGCCGCTCGCCCTCCAGCTGTAGCTCCAGCAGTGTCTTCATGGACAGGCCCTGCTTGGCCAGGCCGGCCCACAGGGGGGGCGGGGAACTGGGTGCAGGAGGCACGGGGACGGCAGCCGCCACCTGCTGCTGCTGCTGCAGCAGCTTCAGCAGCAGCTCCTGCTGCCGCACCTGGAGGAGAAGCCGCTGTGAGGGCCGCCCCCAACCCCCGCTCCGAGCCCGTGGCGGGCTGGGCCCCACCTGCTTGCGCCGGAACAGCTCCTCTTCCTCCTGCCGCCGCTTCTGCTCCTCCTGCTGCTGCTGCTGGCGGCGCTTCTCCTCCCGGCGCTTTCGCTCCTCCTCCTCCCGCTTCGCCCTGAGCTCCACTTCTCTGCGCTCCTGGAACTGGCGGGTCGGGATCAGACACCAGGCCATCCCGGCCATAGCCTGGCCCCTGACAACCAAGGACTCCGGCCTCAGGGGCCCACTCACTTTGTGTTGCAGCTGGAGTTGTTCTAGAATTGGACCCTGAGTCGAAGAGTTAATTGGTATGTCCCAAAGACTGGCCTCACCGCCTGCGGGGGCAAAGGCAGCTGCAGAGGGGAGCTCTGGCCCCCGGCTCCCGGCCCCCCACCCACTGGGGGCCGTTGGGGGTGGAGAGGGGACTCCCAGACCTGGGACAGGCTGGGCGGGCAGCCGCGGGCCACACACCTGACTGTGGTGAGGCTGAGGTATGTATGTCCCAGAGGGAACCCGAGTCTGGCACCGACAAGGACCGGTTCATCGTCGGGAGCAAGTTCTGGTCCCCACCCCTGGGGAGAAAGCACTGAAGCTCTGCGCCCTGAAGCCTCCTCCCGTCTGCCCCTCTCCCCACACCACCCGAGGGCCGTCACGTACAGACAGGCCACACATGCTCGGCCCTGGGCACACAGCGCGGGAACGGCGGCCCACACACCTGGGGGGTTTGAGAGCTTGGAGCTGCTGCAGAAACGCGGTGAGCTGCTGCTGTTGTGGCGGCGGCAGGTCTCCCAGAGCTGCCTTTTCCCGGAGCACGCACTGCGGAAGCTGGCGGCTGCTGAGGAGCGTGCAGGTGTGAGGCAGGCCAGCCCCGCGTCAGCATGGGCCCTGCTGACCAGCCCTGCTAGGCGCCCCGTACCTGCCGACCAGCTGGAGAAACTGCTGGTGCTGCAGCTGCTGGTACAAGGCGGCCGCCGCTAGCTCCTGCTGCTTCTTCAGCCGCTCCTGGTCCAGGTTCCCCTGAGTGAGGCCACAGCGTCCCCGGGGCTCTGCCCGTCTGGCTCTACACCCACCACTGCCCTCCGTCACGCTCCTGCCTCCCGTCCCTGTTCCGCGCAAAAGGGGGTACACTCACCAGCAGTGGGGGAGGTGATGGACCAGGGGCGAAGGGTACGCGACCCCACATCTTGATCACCTCACCCAGTGGCTGGAAGCCCTCATCACAGCCCCGCTTCACCAGCAGGGCCATGGAGAAATAGCCCGCTTGGAACCACTCTGCCATCTCCTGGGTCGTGAAGGGGCCTGGGCCAAGGGGAGGGCAGCCACAGTCAGAGAGGTGTGCCAGAGAAGCCCGTGACAAGGATGGCGCTGGCCCCGAGCCCCGCCCGCACCCCCACCCTACGCACCTTGGATCTCGCCCTGCGGGTCCTTGTAGAACCACTTCCGGGCCGCACCGTGGCTGAGGGGGAGGGCAGTGGCGGCTGCAGAGTGGCGCAGGCCCTGGGCCTGGATGGCGGCCGTGAACTGCTCCTCCTCCAGGGAGCTGTCCTGCAGGGAGGCCACGAGCTTCTCCGCCTCCTGGGAGCCCAGGGGAAGAGGGAAGGCTCAACTGGCCACTTCCATCAACACAGAGGGGGCTGGGGCTGAGGGGGTGGGGTCAGGAAATCAGGTCCGAACATGGCGGGCAAGATGGGGAGAAGGTGGGAACCTGATCGAGGACAGACAGAACCAAGACTCTGTTCCCTGCAGGGGAGGGTTCCCAGAGCCTTCGCAGCCCGCCTCCATCTCCGACCCCCGCCCCACACCTGCTGCAGGTGCTTCAAGCCTTCATCATCTTCCAGATCTGGTGGGCCAGGGGGTGAGCCCGCCCCAGGACTCAGCTGCATTCCCCTCATGTCATCTCCTAGAAAGAGCCAAGAAGGGAAGGTGGGACAGGGCAGTCAGAGAAGGGGGCAAGACAGTGCCCATCCACTACCCTTACTCCAGGAAAGTGGGTGCTAACTGCGCCCCCCCCCCCCCCCCACCAACTCCCCTGCAGCCTCCTTCCCACAGGGATGGAAAGCCCTTTCCCCACAAGCTTCAGGCTCCAGGGAGATGGTGGCTCTGCCCTCAGGCTACCTTCAGCTGCAGGCAGGTCTTTCTCCACTGGGTCATCGCCTTCCCCATTAGCTCCCCAGAGTGGGCCCAAGGTGGGCAGTGGGGATGGGGAACTGGACTTCTCCTCCTGAGGAGGCAGTGGGGTCAGTTCCTTCCCACCTGAAAACCAAGGGTAATTACCAGAACTCAAAAGCAAGCCGGAAGGCCTGAAAAATGACTAAGCACAGATTGTATGATTGTGGCCAGAAGAGCCTCTGGGTATTGAGTCCACCCACACAACTCTGGTCAACACGACCAAGGTTTGGTGAGCAGACACCACAGAGCCTCTCTGCACACTCCTTTCTGCTCCTGCAGTAAGGCTGCGCATCTGCACCGCTGTCCAGGGCTGCGGACACACTACCACTGACTTAACACCGTCTTCCACAGATTCCTCAAGCGATTTTCAAAGGTCATTTTGATTCTGCTTTGATTTTCATCTGACACTCGGCCTTTAGGACAGAGGCCTGCTGTTTCTAGGCTCCTCCACAAGCCCTGTCCACACCGGCCTTTCTCCGCAGACCCAGCTCGAGGCTGCAGGCATCCACCCCACAGGCTTACCCGCCTCGGGCCCCTCCTCGTCCAGCCCTTCGGAAGGTTCTTCCTCCTCTTCCTCCAGGCCCTGGAAGTCGAGCTCCTGCTCCTCAGGAATGGGCTCCTTGGGGCCCTTCTGCACGGGGTGGGGGGATATGACAGGGAGGTGAGTCGCAGAGAATAAGAATGCCATGAAAGGACCCCTCTTGGGGCAGGCAGGTGCCCACCAAACTCTAACAAAATCTCCCTCGCCTCCCTGCAGATACCTTGAGAGGCAAGAAGGCCCCGGAGGCATCGAAGGTGCCCATTTCTTCGTCCTCATCGTCCAGGCACCACTCCGGGAGCCCGTCCTTGTCGTCATCGAAGCCGTCGGGCCCTCGGCACCTCCGGAGGTGAGAGCTGCCCCCCCCACCCCGCCCCTCCTCTTCACCACACCCGCCTCGATCCCCTCGCAAATCAAATTCAAACTTGCGACGCCGGTCCCCATGTTCCCGCCAGCCAGCAGAGCGGGGGCCGCCATCTGGGCAGGAAAAGTGGGGGAAGGAGAGTCGGTACCAATCAAGCCAGAGTCTCCACCCTTCTGCTGATCACCAGGACCCCCCCCGGCCCCTCCCTCGCCCCCACAATGCCCACCTGACCCCCATCTCACCAGGGCTGGTGGAGCGCCAGCGGTCACCGTCTCGTCGGGGTCCTGCCCCGAGTCTCCAGCTGCCTTCTTCTTCTTCCTCTTGCTCCTCTCGGAGAGAACGCCAGTTTTCGCTATCTGAGCGGGCGTGCTCCTTCCTCGGGCCAGCCCCTCCCTCATCGAACCCGGAGCGTGCTTGGGGGCAGGGCAGGAGGGGAAGACACAGTCAGTGGACAGCGGCCATGGTCCCTGTAAGGCTCTTATCAGACACTTTGCGGGGAAAGAAGAGCCCAGCACTCCTGCCTCCACCATCTCCCCTAGGAAACGGCCCCAACCTGGGTCAGCCATTTCAATCCCCACCCCCTCTCAATAACCGGCAGGGCCCAGCCACCACCCTTGCCCCTCTGAATACCTCCATCCCTCCTGGCTGACTTCTCAAACCGCCTCTCGCCTCTGTGGGAGGGAAAGGTGTGGGTCAGAGGACCAGTCCGTCCCTCCCTCCCTGCAGGATCTCAGCTCACCTTGTCCATTCTGCCCTGAGAGAAGTGGGGGGTGGGAGGGGGACTGGGATTGGAAGGGAGCCCAAGGGCAAGGCCACAGGGGTCAGAGGACGTGGACAGAGCTCTCTGACCAGGGCTAATCTGGCAGGTCTCCCAGAGTCCTCTGATGACAAAGACCCAAGCCTCCCTCCGTGGGGCCCTCTCTGCCACCCTGTCCCAGCCTGCACCTGTCATCCCAACTCTGGCTACGCTGGATCTCCCGGGGGTTTCGGCCAAAGGCCCCTTCACCTTCTTCAATGCTTCTTTGGTAAAAGCAACTGTCACCGCGGCCGCGGCCTGGAGGAGCGAGGGGCGCGTGGGAAACCTGCTGATCACCCCCCAGGTCCTCAAGCCCGCCCGCCCCGGAGCACGCCATGACCCCTCTACCTCGGCTCCGCGTGCTGCCCCTGCCACGGGAGGCGCCACCTAGGGGGGGCCCAGCCCCTTTCCCCATCAGCCTCAGCACGGCCACGCTGTTCACTGACAGGGAGAAGTTTCTCTGAGGAGGGAGCCAGGGGTGGGAGTGAGGACCCAGGCACCTGCGCACTCCCCCGTCCAGAACCACACAGCCTCCGCCCCCACCGCCAGCTGCCCGGGCTGGGCCCCACCTGCTCCTCCTCAGTCAGCGGCTCCAGCGCGAGGGGCTGCAGCGGTTCCTCCTGCAGCAAGGCAGCAAACTCCTTGTCCTGCAGCTCATCAGGGACCTGTGGATCGGGCAGGAGGTATGCATGCTCCTGGGCCTTCTCCACTAGCCGGGGCCCCGCGCCCTGGCCCGCACCTACCTTGCTCTCCTTGACATAGAGGGCCAGCATCTCCTCGCGCCCGTAGCGATAATCAGCCAGCTTATACTTGGGCATGGCGGGGGACGGGGGTGGGGAGGCCACACTGCCACCACTGGAAAGGGCCCTCAGCCTGGAGGAGGGACATGCAAAGGGGAGAGATGGGAATCTGAGCAGCCCTCTTCTTCCCGGGCTTCTCCATGCCCCCCTAAGCATGCCTGACTCACCACTCAGGCCCAAAGTTGAGGGTCTCCGCTGCCATTGTGGAGCTGGGCGCGTCCCAGAGGTTGGTGGGGAGGAGCAGGGGAGGGGGTACCCGGCGTTCACTCTCCAAACACCTGTGGAGGTGCAGGGGATGCCAGGAATTGGGATGGCGCACCCAGCGCCCTAGAGGGAGAGCATAGGCCATCACTTGGGTGGGCACGGGAACGCTCGCTAAGGACTCACCGGAGCCAGCCACGTGTCACTCACACCATCAGTTACCCAAAGAGTCACGCTGGGGGAAGGCCTGGGGGAGGGGAGGAGAGGAGACAGGCAGCTAGAGCCCCTGCCAGCTTCCATAGGGGAATGCCCTCTCTCTGGGCCAGACTCACCTGGCAGCCTTGCCCGGGGAAGCAGGTAGGGCTGGGGCTGGGCCCTCTCCAGGAAAGAGCCTATGCTGGGGTGAGCCAGGACCCCTGGGCAACCAGATGTTGGTCTGAGCAGAGCAGTGCCCAGGGAGGGACCTTCACATCTGGGAAAGATCCTTGACGAGGAGCAAAAAGAAGAAATTGGCTTAAGTGAATGGTCAGACAGACCTCCCTGCCTCCAGCCCTCCTCTGTCTCACATAATAGGAAGGCCCACAGGTGCCTGGAAGCTGCTGGTTAGGGAGCACAGCGGACCACAGCCCTGGCTCCTCCTCATCTCTGCCCTCTGCTCAGCAGGCCTCCCAGGTAGTGAGTTGACTCAGCAGAGCCTGACGGAGGAGCTGGAGGCGCGGCAGAGAACGCCAAGGGCCGCAGCATTCAGTAAAGGGGGGCTGGGCTACAAGTGATGTTCGTGTCAGCTGCTCAGTCATGTCCAACTCTTTGCGACCCCATAAACTGTAGACCACCAGGCTCCACTGTCCATGGGATTCTGTCCGGGATTCCAGGCAAGAATACCGGAGTGGGCTGCCATTCCTTTCTCCAGGGGATCTCCCTGACCTAGGGATACAAACCGGGTCTCCTGCACTGCAGGTGGACTTTTTCTTTTAACCATCTGAGCCACCTGGGAAGCTCACACATGATGTTTAGGACAAAGATAAAACACACACAAACCAGCAAAAAACCCACTGGAATCACAATGTTCTAGAGAGAGAAAAGGCTGGTTAAGAGAATTAGAAATTTATCTGGGGGTTACTTCCCTGGTGGTCCAGTGGCTCAGACACTGCACTCCCAATGCAAGGGGCCTGGGGTTCAATCCCTGGTCAGGGAACTAGATCCCACATGCTGCAACTAAGACCTGGTGCAGCCAAATAGATAGATATTTTTAAAAAAAAAGAAAAAATTTATGTGGGAGCAAAATTACCTCTCCCCTGAAAAGACTCAGGTCTGGGTGCTTGGCAGCTAGAATCCTGAGACTCAGCTGGGGGAGAAAACTGGTACAAAGGGAGCAGGGGGCCATTCCCGAGCCAGAGGCAGGTGGCGGGCCGGGGTGGTGGCACACCAAAGGCTGCAGGCAGGCAGGTCTGGCCAGCATGCCCAGGGTTCACTCACCAAACAAGGATCAACACCGAGGTCCTTTCCCTGGGATCAGAAAGAGCCTGATCATAAGCACAAAGAGCCAAGAAGGGGACAGCGTTACTGTAAGCTAGGAAGAGGGGTCCCTCACCATAAAGCAGAAATAAGGTCAGTCACTGAGGCTGACAGAAGCGTGGGGGTGGTGGCAGTGGCCTGTCCCTCTAAGGAACAGAAGAGGCTGTCAGGGGGCGGCTCATCCCTGGTGGTTCCGAGCACGGGGCAGGCGGGCAGGGTCTCGGAGGCGTGTGCAAGGGCCTCCCTCACTGGCTGGGGCGGGGGCTGGACTGATGTGCCTCCACAGTTCCCATCAACTCCGAGATTCCACCGCTCTGGGAAAGAAGGGGGAAGAAGGGTTTCCACCTGAGGGGCCGTGGGAAGTGGCTCTCGACCACAGCTGCAGGCCAGAAGACGAAGCCAAGACCACCCCAGACACAGGACCCACCCCAGAACCCCAGCAGCCTAGGCCGAGATGCAGCGCTGGACACCACCCAGAGCAGGGCTGGTCTCCCCCGGCGCGGGCATCTCCTCTGTGTCAGCCTCAGCTGGCCCCTTCCGGAGATGGAGCACACCCCAGCGAACACGCCGTCAGAAGACAAGCCTGTTGCAAAGTTCTTCCTATCACTCAATTTGACTCAGCCTCCCAGAACGGTGGAGGCCAGTTAAGTCTGTGGATGCTACAGGCCTTATGGAATTCACCCAATGGATGAATCTTGAAAACATTAGCTAAGTAAAACATGCCAGTCACAAATGAACAAATACTGGATAACTCCTCTCACCTGAGATGCCGAGGTGAGTCAAATTCAGAGGGACAGAGAAGAACAGTGGTCCCAGGGCTGGGAGGCAAGGAGTGGGAGTTGTTTTTTAGGGGGGACAGTTTCAGCTGAAAGGGGGCAGAGAAAAAAGTTCCAGGGATGAGGTGGATGGCTGCACAACAACATGAATGTATTTAATGCTGCAGAATTGTATCCTTAAAAATGGCTAAAATGGTGTATGTTACATCTGACCACCATTTAAAAAAGGTTTAGGGGAAAAAGAAGACATATGGGGATAGCTCTCCCATACCGAAGTCTTCTCCATTCCAAGAAAAACACCCTACTTCCTAACAAACTCAGGAGAGGTTGTTCTGAGCCTCTTCCAGGCCACCCCAGAAGAGCCCCATCTCCCAGATGGACAGGAGGAAGAGCCCGCAGTGGGGCGGGGACAGAAAGGGGACGACTCACCCTCCCGCCTGTCCAGGGAGTGGGAAGGCGGCTGGCCGCCAGGCGCTTTCCTCTTCGGCCGTCACCTCTCTGTCGTGGTTGTAAGGAGCGAACTGAGGAAAGGCGGCTGGCTCCGGGCTGAGAAGCAGGGAAACTGCAGAGGTGTGAGAGAGGCAGTCGGGTGCAAGGAAGCAGAGCAGCACTGAGAAAAATCGAGGGTCTGGGTGGGCCCAGCCAGCGGAGGCCTGGGCCTCGGGAGCTGGTGGCTGCCTGGCCCCTCTTCTGACCACGAGCAGCACACAAATGCCCTGTGGTTTCTACTGCCAAACAGGCATGCACCTCTTCCACTGCTTCTCAAGTGGGGGCAACGCTGCTCCCCAGGGCACATCCTGGGGGACATTTCTGGTAGGCATGACTGGGAAATGCGACCAGCATCTCAGGATCAGAGGTCAGCGACACTGCTAAACATCCTACGAGGCACAGATTTCCCCCAACAAGGGATCATCTGGACCCAAGTTATCAATATCTAGGGGCTTTCCTGGTGGCTCAGACAGTAAAGAATCTGCCTGCGATGCAGGAGACCCTGGTTCGAGCCCTGGGTCAGGAAGATCCCCTGGAGAAAGGAATGGCAACCCACTCCAGTATTCTTGCCTGGAGAATCCCATGGAGAGAGGAAGATTAACACACACAGATTAACAATAGTGGCAGAGTTAAGAAACTCTTCTGTATGCCCCGGGCAGAGGATAACCACACCCACTGTCTGTTTAGGGGGAAGAATGGAAGACAAGGCAACCAAATTGACTCCAGTTCATTCCCCTCTCTGAAGAGCAAGGGAATCATCCCCTAATTACACTGTCCCATGAGAGAAACCTGAAATCCCTCCAGGAGGGAAATCCTCCAGAAAAGAAGAGATTAAACAAAACTGTCCCAAGTCTATCACAAACTTTCAAAGTCCAGCATTTGGATCCCTTGCCAGTGAAGGAAAGAGCGGGAGGTGGCAGACAGGGAACTGGAGACAGCCTCCCTCCCTGGCTATCTGATCTAAGGGTGTCCTGCTTAGCCCTCACCTCTCAGCATCTGTGTGCCTCATCAATCCACAAGCCCCCCACCCCTTCGCCTTCTCAAGCCTCACTATACCCTCCCTCCCTAGGGCATCTGAATTATTGCCATTAAAAGGCTGCCCCCTACCGGAGTCCAAGGGAGAGGACACTGATCCTGGTGTTCACCAACAGGCTTGAGGAACAGGAGGGGAGCCTGTTCTCCCGCGTTCCGAAATCACAGGAGAAGGAAAAGATCCAGAGACTAGGCGGTCCCAGTACACACTAAGTTAAGAACATTATTTCCTCATTCCATCACCCCTAAAATTAGCCCCAATCCAGAGTAATGCGCCTTGGCACAGGAAGGCACCACCATTAACAGAAGTAGAATCCCAAATTCCCCAACATTTGAGCAAGCGCCCAGCCCCAAGCTTGTTGGAGGTGACTCCGCCCTTTCTCAGGGTGGAAAGAAAAGAGTCTCCACTCGTGGCAGGAAGAGAACTCGCAGGCTTAAAAAGAGGTGCAAGCCTGTGTTCCTCCTGGCAAGTATGTTAACCCAGCTCTGCCCTCTGAGCCGTCAGGACAATGCCCTGAGGAGTCTAGTAGTTAACAGTTTTCAAAGCACTTTCACACTTTACCTCATTTGATCCCTTCTGCCCACTTGCTGAGGCTTGGGCTCCAGCCAGAGAAAACAAGGAAGGGAGGCTGTAGCTGCCCTGACAGGAGACCCCGAAGTCTCTGACACCCTACCCGAGCCTGGAGAAGGGGCACACGCTCGGCGGGAACCACCCCAAACTCACAAGCGTACTTTGTGAGTTTTAAGCCATTTTTCTCATTAGCATTTAAAAAATCCTTCCCAGAGCCACCTCTTCTCACCTCCTCTGCTAGAAAGTGGGCCTTTTTTTTTGTTTCTACCCCAAACTCCAATCACAGATGGAGAAAGCAGCACAACCCGGGGGTCCTTTAATCCATCGAATCACACACAACACTGACGCCTCCATCGGCTGAGAAACCCAGGCCCGGAGTCAAAGAGCAGAACTCACCTGAGTGTTGCCACCACGTGGGACCCTCGAGGTCCCCGGTCCCTGCCATGACAGCAACACAAAGCCCAGATCTGTTTCAACCCTGCCCGATGACACACCGGACCTGCCATCTAGGAACTAAGACTGATGCTGCTGTGAGGGTAGGTGGCCTGGGACAGCACGGAACAGATGAAGGACCAGGGAACAAAGTCCCACACCGTGAGAAGCTAAGGGGACCAGCCTGTAAGTACTCAAGGTGTTTCAGGTGCAAAGCCAGGAGGCGGGGGCTAAACTGCAACCGAGTGCCAGCTCCCGGGGCAGCAGAGAGACTGTGAAGGCTGATCACTGGAAAAGCAGAGATGAGAAGCAAGAGGGGAGTGAGACAGGGGTGAATGGAGGAAAGAGCTGGGCTAACAATTACTGGCTGAGCATCTGTCTCCCTGGGCCAGGCCCGGCCCTATGATGGACCAGACCTGGACTCTTACTGGGAATTCTAGTAGTGACTGCGTACGACCTGCGAGGTAAGGGTCTCTTTAAAGTTAACTTGAAAAAATAAAAAACAGTCAAAGTGTGAGGGGCCGTGACTGGGGAGCTACTGCATCAGGAGAGATGGGCTGGGAAGGGCCCAGCCCGGCCACAGGACAGACTAAGGTGTTTCACTCGGCCGGGCAAGCGGGAGAAAGGAGACCCCAATGACCAAGCACTAATCGCTCGCTGAAATGTAGGGGCAGACCCAGTCGAGGTACTGTGGTTAAAAGAAGAGGCTTCCACGTTAGCCAAAGTCACGGATCGCTTGCACTTTAAGACCCGCCGGGCCCAGCTCATGCCGAGAACCCGGAGGCACGTTGGGAGAAATCTCCGGGGAGCGCCGGGCATTGGGGTCCCGGGCCCCCGGACGGAGGATGCAGGCGGAGGGAGGTGGGGTGGGGGGGGGCAGACCGGGGTTCCGAAGGGCCGGAGGGCGACGGTTAGGAGCGCGGGGGTGGGAAGGAGGCGGGCCGGCCCGGGAGGACGGCGTGCCCTTCAGGGAGGGGGCGCCAGGTGCGGGGGCGCCGGCGGCCGCCCCCGGGAGGGAGCCGGCCTCCCTCGGGGCGGCGCGGGAGCCCGGGCCGCGCGGGGGAGAGGGACCGGCAGGGAAGCTCGGGAGGCGGGCGCACCAGACGGCGGGGGCGGCGGCCTCGGGACGAGACGGGGGAGGGTCCGTGCCGGCGGCCCCGCTCCCGCTCTGGCTCTTGCAGGCTCGGCGCGGCCGCCTCGGCGTCGGGGGCGGGCCTGGCCCAGGCCCGGCCGCGGGCTGGGGGTCCGCGGGGCCGCCGGGCGCTTACCGCGGCGGGCGGGCGGCGCGAGGCTCCAGTCCCGGGGCGTAGGCGACGCGCGGCGGGCCGGGGGGCGGCGGCGGCGGGGGTGGGGGCGCTGGCGCTCCCGCGGCGGCCGCTCCTCTCTGTTTGTGTTTGTAGCAAGATGGCTGCCCGCCTCGCACCACGTGACGCGGACGCGGGGCCGCCCCCGCCGCCGCCGCCGCCGCCACCGCCACCGCCACCGCCACAGCCCCCCTCCGCGGCTCCGGCCCGCTTCGACCCGCACGGCCTGGCGCGCTCCCCGCCTGCCCGGCGGGCACGGCCCGGACGCCTGCCGCCCCCGGGCCCCCCCGACCCCGGCACGTGACCCGGGAGCCCGGTTCCTCACGTGACCCGGCCTGCCGCGGGGCCGGGGGGGTGGTGAGGGTGTCCTGGGGGTGCTCCCCGGCAGCCCCCGGCACGTGACGCGCGACCATCGCGACGAAGGCCGCCTCTGGCGGCATCGCCAATCTCCGGACGGTCGGCTTCCTCCGGGAAGCCCGCCTGGGTTGAAGGAGACCACAGACACCCCGGAGGTGTGTTCATCAGATATCCCGGGGTGTATGAAGTAAACGAGGAGCCGAATGATTTAGAAACTGTCCGTGGCAGCGCTGGTTGGTGAGATTTGGAGTTTCTATCTGACTCCTCCACTGAGTGGCCCCTAGACCTCGGGGGCAAAGGATTTAACGCTTTAACGCTATCGGGCCCCAGTTTCTATTATATAGTAAGGTATTGATGCTCTTCTCCGCCCCATCCCCGGCCCCCATTCCACTCCCTTTCCAGAGTGCTGAAAGAATTAAAATAGGTGCATGTGAGAGGCTTTGGCAAGAGAGAAACTACTATGCAAACACAAGAAGTAGATTGACATCTTCTTTGTTTAAAAAGGAGGTTTTCAAGAATGACTTTTCCGATTCCTAAACTTTTTGAGGATGAAAAAGTTTTGCGTGTGTTTTCACCGTTTTCTTTGGAAGTTACTCCAGAATGTAGACTCTCACTTCCCAGCTTTCTAAAACAGCCGTTACCAAAAACAATGTAATCCTCAGGCCCGGGAAAGGTAAATTCAAACTTGGAACTGGAGCCCTCTGTGTGCTGCCAAAACGGATCGCGGACCTCGGGAGCTACCAGGAAGGCCCTTTGTTCTTGCACGGAGCACACCCCAGCCTTCTATGCACTCGCAGTTTTCATGTCTGCTTTTTTCAGTTCCCTTGACTTTCTTGCAATCAGGATTCCTGTCTCACTGTAGTCAGTGAAGCTGCTTGCTCAGAGGCTGCAAAATCCAACTGTTTAAAGTGAGGGCTCGGAGCTTCACTGGTGGTCCAGTGGGTCCCTGCTCCCAATGCAGGGGCCTTGGTTCACTCCCTGGCCTGGGAAGTAGATCCCACGGGCCACAACTAAAGATTCAGCAGGCTGCAACCAAAATCCGGTGCAGCCAAATAATAAATAAATATATTTTTTGATAAAAGCTGAGGGCTTGTATCCATTCCAGACTGTGGCCATGGGCACTTTACTAATCTCTGAGTCTCTAGATTGTATGGTAAAGCGCTGGAACACAGTACTTGGCATAGGGCAAGCACTTCACAAATGTTAGCTGGTAGGGCCTTCTGAGTCCAGGAGATTCAGATTGTTAATACTGTATGAAAATGTATCAGCAGAATCCAATCTCAGGTCAAGTTCTCATAGAAAAAGATTCTCAATTATGGCAGCTTTTTTTTCTTACTCCACAGCTTTTGTTGTTGCTGTTTTGTTTCTTCACTTTTCCAGATTGTGTCTTACCCTCTGAGTAAGGTCTTCAGTTCAGTTCAGTCGCTCAGTTGTGTCCGACTCTTTGCGACCCCATGAATCGCAGCACGCCAGGTCTCCCTGTTAAGGTCTTAGCATGTTTTAATTATTAATTAGCAAACATGAGATTGTCAGTTACAGTAAAGAAATGTTACAGGGGAAAAGGGGGAGCCCTGTGAAGTAGAGGCAGTCAGGGACAGTGGTGGCTTGTGTGGAGCAGGAAGGGCAGGATTTGCGTAGATTTGAGAAAAGTGGGCATCAGCTTTAGAATAGTGACAGTCTAGGCTGATGGGAGAAGAGGACCTGGATTGCCTGTTGGATGAGAAGCGAAGAGGAACTTAAAGTTTAGGCTTTGACTGCTAGCATGATTTTATTTTTTTAATCTTTTGGCCTCACCCCACAGCATGTGGGATCTTAGTTCCCTGCCCAGGGACCGAACCTTTGCCCCCCCCTGCATTGGCAGTGCAGTCTTAACCACTAGGAAAGTCCCCATGAAAATGCTTTTGATTGAGGAGGAGTTCTTTCCTAGGGAGAGCACGCCAGACTCCAGGGTGGAAAATTGGGAGTGAGTGATCAGTCACCCTGGGTTCCCTGTGTGCCAGCTTGTGATCCTGGCCAAGTAATTACGCCCCAGCTGTAGAGTGGGAATGATTCTGCTGCCGGTGACGCTGTGGAAGTTGAATTGTATACGCAGCCTCTTTGCGAAATGACATAAATCAGAACTGTGAATTTTCTATACAAAATAAAAGAAAAATTTCTGAATGAGGAAATCACTTGGACCTAAGATTTTTGTTTATTCAGGTGAAGTGAAGTCGCTCAGTCGTGTCCAACTCTTTGCAACCCCATGGACTGTAGTCCACCTGCTCCTCCGTCCATGGGACTCTCCAGGCAAGAACACTGTGCTGTGAAATATCTTGGTTTAAGCGAGGTCTCAAGTAAGACTGAACAGCCAACCTCTCTGCCTTTTTTTCTAATGGCAGATTCCCCTGCAGTGTTTGCCTCCATGAAATGCAAAAAGGTAAGGACCATCTTAGTGTCAGATCAGTGTATTACAATACCTGGCTTCACCCACCTAAGTTGCGAGCCTTTATATTTATCTGTATGTCAGAGTTTGGAAAACATTTTAGATATCGTGAAAAGACAGGCAGCCTGCGTAATGGAATGATAGTTCATTAACAGTGCTTATTTATTGTTAATTATCAGACAAAATGGGCCTTACAATTAATTTATTGTATTCAGAATTACTTGCTGCCATAAGCGAAGTTCTTTGGTTGATCAAGTGTAAATGCTTGTCAAGTCACCAATGCAAAATCACCACATTGCTAAGTCCAGTGTGGCCTGTCATCAGTGTTTGACACAGTCGGTCACTACCTCCTCCAGGAAATGCTTTCCACCTGGCTTCCATATCACCATGCTCCTTTGGTTCTCCTCCTACTTCACCAGCTTCTCTTTCTGAGTCCTCTGCTCGTTCCTTTGTCTTCCCCATCTCCTAGAGCTCAAACCTTCCAGGAACTGCACAGGATCTGTGCCCCACTACTAGATATTCCTGCCTCGCCTTAGACATTGCTTCCTTTGGATAACCTTGCATCCCCCTAGGTTATATTGGCTGTGCCTCCTTGAGGGTCCACGGAACCCTCTACATGCTCCCTGCTGAGCAGTGGTCACACTGCCTCGCTCATCTTGTTGGCTTTTCACAGTAAACCATGAACTGCTTGGCCCAGTATTGTTCAAGGATGTTTCTAGTCTTCCAGCAGCCTAATGAGTCTCCTTGATCCAACTTTATTGCTGAGTAGTATTCCATCATATGGATATACCACACTTTAACCAGTCACCCATTTAAAAATGCATGGATTGTTCCAGATCTGGGGCTATTACAAATAAAACTGCTGTGGACATTCATGTACGAGTTTGTGAATTTCCGTGAGTGCTCTTGCTGGGTCATGTGATGAGTGTGAGTTTAGTGTTAGAAGAAATTGCCAAACTATTTTCCAGAGTGACTGGACCATTGAAGATTTCCACAGGGTATGAGAGATCCAATTTCTTTGCATTCTCATAAACACTTAACTATTGTCAAAAAAATTTTTTTTAATTATTTTTATTTGGGGTTGCACTGGGTCCTCTTTGCTGAGTACGGGCTTTCTTTAGTTGCAGAGAGTGGGGGCTTCTCTCTAGTTGTGGTGCTTTGGCTTCTCGCTGTGGGGGCTTCTCGTTGCAGATCACAGGCTCTCGGATGTGCTGGCTTCAGTAGTTGCAGCACATGGGCTTTAGAGCCATGGGCCTCAGTAGTTGTGGTGCGTGGCCTTAGTTGTCCTGTGGCACATGGGATCTTCCCAGGCCAGAGACTGAACCTGTGTCCCCTGCATTGGTCGGAAGATTCTTAACCACTAGACCACAGTCACTTCAGTCGCTCAGTCATGTCCGACTCTGTGACCCCATGGACTGCAGCATGCCAGGCTTCCCTGTCCATCACCAATTCCTGGAGCTTGCTCAAACTCATGTCCATCAAGTCAGTGATGCCATCCAACCATCTCATCCTCTGTTGTCCCCTTCTCCTGCCTTCAATCTTGTCCAGCATCAGGGTCTTTCTCAATGAGTCAGTTCTTTGCATCAGGTAGCCAAAATATTGGAACTTTAGCCTCAGCATCAGTCCTTCCAATGAATATTCAGGATTGATTGCCTTTAGGATGGACTGGTTTGATATCCTGGCAGTCCAAGGGATTCTCAAGAGTCTTCTCCAACACCACAGTTCAAAAGCATCAATTCTTCGTCACTCAGCTTTCTTTATGGTCCATTTCTCAACATCCATACATGACTACTGGAAAAACCATAGCTTCGACTAGACAGACCTTTGTTGGCAAAGTAATGTCTCTGCTTTTTAATATGCTGTCTAGGTTGGTCATAGCTTTTCTTCCAAGGAGCAAGCATCTTTCAATTTCATGGCTGCAGTCACCATCTGCAGTGATTTTGAAGCCCAATAAAATAAAGTCTGTTACTGTTTCCATTGTTTCCCCATCTGTTTGCCATGAAGTGATGGGACCGGATGCCATGATCTTTGTTTTTTGCATGCTGAGTTTTAAGCCAGCTTTTTCACTCTCCTCTTTCACTTTCATCAAGAGGCTCTTTAGTTCCTCTTCGCTTTCTGCCATAAGGGTGGGTATCATCTGCATATCTGAGGTTATTGATGTTACAAGGGAAGTCCAAAATTTTTTATTTAAGACATTTTAATAGGGGGGGTAAGTGCTTCCCTGGTGGCTCAGTGGTAAAGAATCTGCCTGCCAATGCAGGAGACTTGGGTTTGATCCCAGGGGCGGGAAGATTCCCTGGAGAAGAAAATGGCAACCCACTCCAGTATCCTTGCCTGGGAAATCCCATAGACAGAGGAGCCTGGCAGACTACAGTCCGTAGGGTCACAAAAGAGTCCAACAGGACTTAGGACTAAACAACAGAAGAAGCAGTAGGTGGGGAGTGGCATCTCATCATGGTTTTAATTGCATTTCCATCATGGCTAATGATGTTGAACATCTTCTGTGCTTATTTGTCATCCTCATACCCTATTTGCTAAAAAAAAACCCTTTGTTCAAGCCCATTTTCTAATTGTTTTCAGATGCTTGAGTTTAGAGAGTTCTCTAATCTGGAGACAAGTCCATTGTTGGAGATGCAATTTGCAGGTATTTTCTTCCCAGACTGTGGCTGGGTGGCCTTTCACAGAGGAAAAGATTTTTAATTTTGATGAAGTACAGTTAATTCTTTTCTTTAATGGATTGTGCCCTTGGAGTTGTATCTAAGAACTCTTTACCTGACTATATGTCATGAAGACTTTTTTTCTCCTATATTTCTTCTAACAGTTTTATAATTTTACATTTTATGTTTAGATCTACCATCCATTTTATGTTAATTTCTTTGCATTGGGCTGAGAATTCAATTTCAATTCTTTGCCTATTTATTCAGTTGTTTTAGCACTACTTGTTGACTAGACTCATCTTTCCCCATTCAGCTGCTTTTGCACCTTTGTCAAAAATCAGCTGGCTGTACTTGTGTGAACCTGTTTCTGGGTTCTCTACTCCATTTTATTGACTTGTGCCTGTCCCTTGGCAGATACCACACTGTCTTGATACTGTGTTTAGACAATAAGTCTTAAAATCAGGTAGTATGTTTCCAACTTTTCATTTTTCAAAGTTGCTTTAACTTCCCTTGCCTCTCCATATAAATTTTACAATAAACTTATCTACATCTATAAAACTTTTGGCTGGGATTTCATAGGAATTGCATGAAACTTTGGGAGAACTGACATAATATTTTGGTTCCAATATCTATCTCTCCATTAATTTAGATCTTTGATTTCTTTGATTAGCATTTTGTATTTTTTAACATACACATTTTGTACATGTTTTGTTAGACTTATACGTAAATATTTTCCCTCCCCCTCCCTTCCTCCACCCTCTTCCCCCATCTTTGGAATGATTGTAAATGATTTTAAATTTTGGCTTCTGACTGCTTATTGCCAGTATGTGCTTAGTCGCTCAGTGTCCGACTCTGCCACCCCATGGACTGTACCCTGCCAGGCTCCTCTGTCCATGAGGATTCTCCAGGCAAGAATATTGGAGTGGGTTGTCATGCCCTCCTCCAGGGACTCTTCCCAACCCAGGGATTGAACCCAGGCCTCCTGCATTGCAGGCAGGTTATTTACTCTTTGAGCCACCAGGGATGCCTCCATTTTATCTATGTTGTGGATTTCATCTATGTAGAGTTGTTAATATTATTCTCTAAGAATATTATAATGTGAGGGGTTTTTAATGCTATTCCCTCTTTCATTTCTGGGAATCATAATTTGAGTCTTCTTTCTCTTGTTCTTTCTTGTCAGTCTTGCTAGAGGCTTACTAATTTTATTGATCTTTGCAAAGAACCAGCTTGTAGTTTGAGTTTACTTCTGTGTTCAGTTTCATTGATATTTGCTCTTTTTATTTCCTCCCATCTTCTCCCTTTGGCTTTACTTTTTCTAGTTCCTTAAGGTGAAAACTTAAATTATGCATCCATTGTTTTAGAAATAGTGTTCAGTGATTCCAGAAAACTCCTTGGTTCCCTGAAGAACTCCTGTTTGCTCATCAAAATTCAGTTCAGGGACTTCCTTGATGGTCTAGTGGCTAAGACTCCACACTCCCAATGCACAGAGCCTGGGTTCCATCCCCAGGCAGGTAACTAGATCCCATATACTGAAACTGAAAAACCATGTGCCCCAACTAAGACCCAGCGCAACCAAATATATATATATATATATATATATATATATATATATAATTCAGTTAAGATGTCACTACTGAGACAGAAGAGTTGCAGCCAGCCTTTCCTCTTCACCCCCAAATAAACGCCACCTAACATAAGAATCTGAAGCTTAAAAAAAGAAGCACAGGCTTTAAATGGTGCTGGGAAGTTTAAGTTCGCAAGAGCCTAGCCTCTTTACAACCTTTAGTCATATGGGGTCAAACTCCACCCTAGGCAATAAGAGAGCGGTCTTGGGGGGGGGGGACATAAAAATGCCAATTCACACGTGTAGGCTTACAGTTTATAAGCTTATATTGGGTTTTGAAACTCAGTAGCAAGATGGGAATTGTCATCCTTATTTGAGTAATGAGGAAACTTCAGAGGAGAGTAGTTGAGGTCTCCAATGCAGGTCTAACTCATTTTCGAATGGAATTCTCCAAAAGCTAAACCAATCTGGGCAGAAAGCCCCTTCCCAGTGGTCTTGGGAGCCACCAATCCCCCCAAGTGCTGCGCAGCCCTTCCCGCCAGGGGGCGCACGTCCCAGCTTCCGAGTGGTCGCAGTGACCGCAGAGCTGGAGGGCAGTTGAGGGGTCTGAGTGGGTCAGGGGGGCCACAAGGAAGCTGTGAAGGCTTGGGAGGGGGAGGCTTACGGCTCAGGAGAAGGGGCCAACAGAGGATAAGATGATTGGATGGCATCACCGACTCAATGGACACAAATTTGAGCAAGCTCCTGGAGATAGTGAAGGACACGGAAGCCTAGCGAGCTGCAGTTCATAGTGATTCAACCACAACGGCTCATAGCCCTCGGTCCCCAAGGGATTGGCCTTTGAGTCAGCCCTGCCAGAGGAATGGGAGGACGGCTCCCCGTGAACTGCAGAGGGGTCTCAGAGCGCTGTCCTCCCACAAGGACCGGGCCTAGGTACTCGTTTACCCGCTCTCGGTCTTTAGGCGACGCGAAACTTGGACGGGAAGTCGGTTCGGCCAACTCTGCCACGCCTCCTGACCCGAGGAACCGCGACGGACGCAGACACTTTTCCGATCACGTTGTATGGAACTCGGCGCCCTCCCTACCATCTTTGGAAGGCCCTGACTCCCAAATTCTCCAAGCCCCCACAATAGCCTCCTCTCCTCCATTCTCCCCTTGGGGACTGCCCCCCACCCCTCGCGAACCGGGGACTTGGACTGGCCGCAAAAAGCCCGACCCTGAAACTCTAATATACTTTGGCCACCTCATGCGAAGAGTTGACTCATTGGAAAAGACCCTGATGCTGGGAGGGATCGGGGGCAGGAGGAGAAGGGGACGACAGAGGATGAGATGGCTGGATGGCATCACCGACTCGATGGGCATGAGTCTGAGTGAACTCCGGGAGTTGGTGATGGACAGGGAGGCCTGGCGTGCTGCGATTCATGGGGTCGCAAAGAGTCGGACACGACTGAGCGACTGAACTGAACTGAACTGAACTGCCCTACCCAAGTCCTCCCCGGGCTCGGACTTGGTACACGCCTCCCGCCTCCGCGCCCCGCCTGGGAGGCGTACACGTGGTAGATCCCGTCAGCCCCGGAAGCCTCGCGTTATTCAAACACATCGCGCGGTTTTGCGAGCTCTGAGGAAAGGGGCGGGGAGAACGGAGGCCGGGAAGGCGATTCGTGGATGCCATGGGCCTAGCCGTGGCTGGGGGACGGGCGCGCGTGCGCACTCGGCACCCTTTTCTGACACCCCGCGCCGGCAGGGCTTCAGCGTTCCGGCGTCCGGGCGGCGCGTCCCGCTTCTCTTCCCTGCTGGGGCCCCGGTGGTCGCGGGCAGTGCCACCTACTCCGGCCAGTCGGCGCAACGCTCGAGTGGCCTGGCAAGGGAGCGGGCCGTGTGCGCGTGGAGAACACGGGGACCGGAGAGAGTAGGCGCTGGAGAGCTGGGGAAAGGGGGCGGTGGAGGGACCCGAGGTGGGGAGCGATGTGATGACTGTCCGGGAACTGAGGTGGGGGAGCTGCGGGAGCTGGAGGTGAGTGGGAGGGGACTGAGAGTGGAAGGGAAGAGGGGCGTCGAGTGCGCCCGCTCCCGTGTGCACCCTTTGGGCTGGAAACCGGGTGGGGAAGGAAGCGTGGGTCACTCCTCACCCTTGGCTGATCTCGTCCCTTTCCCGTGCCAGGGCGCAGAGCATGGCCGAAAACCGAGAGCCCCGCGGGACCGTCGAGGCTGAGCTGGACCCGGTGGAGTACACCCTGCGGAAGCGGCTTCCCCACCGTCTGCCCCGGAGGCCCAATGACATCTATGTCAACATGAAGACTGACTTTAAGGCGCAGCTGGCCCGCTGCCAGAAGCTGTTGGACGGAGGGGCGCGGGGTCAGAACGCATGCAGTGAGATCTACATCCACGGCTTGGGCCTGGCCATCAACCGGGCCATCAACATTGCCTTACAACTGCAGGCGGGCAGCTTCGGGTCCTTGCAAGTGGCTGCCAATACCTCCACCGTGGAGCTTGTCGATGAGTTGGAACCGGAGTCGGATTCACGAGAGCCGCTGACCCGGATCCGCAACAACTCTGCCATCCATATCCGCGTCTTCAGGGTCACGCCCAAGTAACTGAGATGAGGCTGGCCCACCGTATCCACCCACCCCCATACAGCTGGGGCTCAGATGTGGCTCTTCTTGTCCTGAGTACTGCCGTGTAGGAAAAAGCCCATCCCCTGGCAGCCCGGAGGACTCTCAGTTGAGAGGGCAAATACTGTCTTTTGTTGGGCCCAGGCAGTGGGTCTTCCTGGATCTCTGTGGTCTGCAGCCGTTGTCCTGTACAATAAAAAGCTGCCCGCTGCGCTGCCTCTCCCCTGTAAATTCTGGAGGGGAGAGTAGGGAGGAGCTTGACGAAGACTTAGATACAGGAGGGGAGCCCTGGTGTTTCCTGCTTTCATAGAAAGAGCATTAATTGTCCTACAGACATTGCAACACAAGACAAACGTTAGTGCAGTGCAGAAGCCTGACGGTCCCAGTGTTTGTTTTAAAATGTTTCATCCTCGCAGAAGAAAGCAGGGAGAATAAAGTATATACTCCTGCCTGCTGGCGAGAGCTGGGGTCTAGTTGTGTGTGAGGAAAGTATCAGCTTCTCTGTTGGTAGTTCCTGGGCACAGGAAGGATGAGGGCTTAAGGAGAGAGAAAAGACAAAGATGGGGCCTCCTTTGTATTAGGTTGTGGGAGGGATTGACACTGCTTCATTTGATTCCTGGTCCTGGGGGGTCCAAAGTGTTCTAAACAGCTGTGGTCCAGAGCCCTTCACACCCTGTGGCTGGGCTGTTCAAAGTGGGAAAGAAAAGCTTTCCCTCTGACTTACTGGGTACACAGGTCATAAGCACTTATTTGCTTGCATATTTGTAGGAGGATCTGATTTTTCCTATTTATCAAACAAGTCGTCTAAAGCAGTGTTTATCAGAGCGGTTGATAACCCATATGTGGGTCTTGATTTACTCGGTCAAAACCTTTTTAAAAATCAAGTAAAAAATAACTTCCATGGTAATATTTTATTGGCAGTTTTATAGATATGTATATAGACACATGCTAGTTATGACATTGATTTTACTGTTGGGGGAGGTCACAAGAGCTTGAAAGACTTTGATCTAAATTTGAATTTGGTTCTAGTTTGCTTGAAGGTAGTTTGGTTTGGGGTTCTGAAAATCAGCCTTCTCATTTAGCAAAACCTCTCCCTCTGGCTTGAGGGTTCCTGCGGAGGAGGGACTCATGCTGTGGAAGCGACTGCCAGTGGCACAGGGAAGTGAACTCTTCACAGAAGGACTGGTGCTTCATTCTAACGACTAAACACAGGCCAAGGGCCTGCTGTGAGCCACAAGGCCTGGGCCGGGCCCTGGGGATACAAAGGTGGGTATAAAACGGCCACTACCTTCAAGGAGTTGACCATTTAGTTGGGAAGGTGGATATACCAGCTCTTGTGCAGTGAATAAGATGTGTGATGTAAGAGGTAAGAATAGCCACAATAGAGAAGCACAGAGAAGAGAATGGCTAACTTCCTGGTGACGTCTGAGATGGTTTCACCTTTGATCTAGGTTTTGAAGTATGAAGAGGAGTTTGCCAGGCAGAAGAGAGGGGAGAGGCGGCAGGCAGAGGCATCAGCATGCACAAAGGGGGCTCACGAACAGGCAGGGTGTGTTGTAGGACTAGAGGTCACTCGGCAGCGAGGAAGTAGGAAGCACTGGGGAGATTTGAGGGAGACAGACCGGAGATGATTCTTATCAGATCCCCCCAATTCCCTCCCATCCCAATTTCCCTATCAGCCTTGACTGCAAGGCTCCCTTGCCTAGGAGGCCCCAGTAACAGTGGGGAGCCAGCGGGGAGCTGGAGGGAACTGTGTGTGTCTTTGCACGTATGTGCTCTGGTCTCTCTGCTCCTGGCCCAGGCCCAGCAGAGGTGGTAGCAGCAGCCCTTTTGCGTTTGGTTTGTTTTGGCTGCGACATCTTCCAGCTTATTTGTTTGTTGTTTCTGCTCCATGTTCTCTCACTGCTTGCCAGTGGGGCTTCCCTCAGCAGCAGAAACAGCCCCTAGACGTTGCCACTGAAGGAAGAGGGGGTGTGGGGGCAGGTAGGGGGTGTGGGGAAGGCACCTGCATCTGTCAAGAGTCCACGCCTGGCGGATGGGACAAGGAGCTCTGCACTCCTTCTATAGGGAGGCCACCAGCCACCTCTGCTCCCCTCCCTCCCGGTTCTCTGCAGTGTCTTCCATCACAGCTTGGGAAGTGGGAAGGTGATGGGGGCAGAAAGGGTGTCCAGATGCAGTTCCCCTCCCTTCTTTTTGCTCAACAGCTACAGAGCCCACAGTGAGCGCAAAATGACCTCCTACTTCAAAAACAGATCCCCCAAGGTCAGATTTGAAATGCTTGTCTTCCCTCCTCATCTCTAGTATTATTGAGAATCCACTGCTTGTGCGGAATCTGTGTTAGGTGCCAAGTCTGCCCGGAGAGGTACAAACCCCTGGGTCTCTCAAAACTAATAGGAAAAAGGACAGATGGACAAATAATTTACATAGTGCTTGGGGCTGTCCTGGCATTAGCAAGGGCTCCAAAAATAGGGGAACTGTTGGTAGCGTGAGCTATTTTGCTAAGGAATGGTTTGGTCCTCTTAATGGAGATGGGGAGAGGGGAGGGAAGGTGGTTTGTGTGTGTTTGATCTACAAGGCTGGGTTCTTAGTCCTGCTGGCTTTTACTTTTGTGGCACTGGCAACGGGAAAGAAGACGGGCCCTCAGGACACATGAACTGGTCTAGGTGGGTGGATGATCCTTCTAGGAGGTTCCCTGCACTCTGTCCAGGGGAGTTCCTGGTGCTCGGTCAGGAGCTGGGAGAACAAACCCTGGAGCCTGTGGGGAAGATGGACAAGAGGTGTGTGTAAATGTACTTCTGAAGGGAAGAGATGACCCACTGCAGATTTGGGGATGAGGCAAAGGTTATCCTACCAAGAGAGAAGTCTATGAAAATGACCACTTAAGACTCCATCTTCCTAAATGACATTTATGGGTGCTTTCGAATTGATGTATTATTTTTGTTTGGACAGGAAAGCTACTGTGGCCAATTTAGCAGCTCTGTCTTCTGGTAAAGGATGGAAAGGACGTGGGTAAAGGATGTCCTTCTGGTAAAGGATGTGTGAAGGAGCTTGCAAATGTTCAGCCGTACCTGTGAGCAGGAGATCCTAGGATGCGGCTGATACTTCACAGAAACCTCAGTTGGGGAGGTGCATCTGGAGGTGGAGGTCTTGGTGCTTTGCGTGCCCTCTTAAAAGGGCTCAAGTCCTGGGGGAGAGTCGAGACTAGTAACCAAGGAAGGGGGCCTGTCCAGGGTGGGCCCGAAGGCCTCATTCAGTCCAAGGTCCTTGAGACCCATGTTAAGGGGACAAGAAATCCCTGGTCGGCTCCAGGCTTTGAATAAACTGAGTGTGAGCGTTGCCTTGATATCTACGTCTTGACCTACCCCCAGCTCCAATCAGTTGTGTTTCAGCGGCAACTTTCTCCAAAGAGCAGTGGAGGTGTCCACCCAGAGAGACTCCCATCCTCCATCCAAACCTCCCTGTCCCCGTGACCTCTGCCAGTGAGTGGCTTAGTGAGGCAGCTACAACGCCAGGGATAAGGTGTCACAAACCCATGCCCACCTCCCCAGAAGGAGCGCTGGTAGGCACTGGAGGAAGGCTAAAGAGTATGCTAGGGGTCTGGTCTCCAGGCCTACAAAGCAAGGATGAATAGCAGGGATAGTAAAGCCAAGGGTGCAGTGATAACAGGTAGCTTGTATTGATTACCTCGTGCCGGGCGTTACATAATCACACGACAGTCCTGGCAAGCGGTTACTGTCGTTTTTTCTGCCATCCCCAGGCTCGGACATGAGGTCACCTGTCCAGGCTGGGTGTTGGTAAATGGCAGAGCTCACGAGGTCACCAAATCTGGGCTCCCTTGTTTACCAGACAAGCCTTGTTAGGCTTCTGAAGTGGCAGAGCTGCTCGCTGAGAACAGAACCCAGATATCTGGTCCTAGGGGCTACCTTGTGGCCAAGGAAGCAGAGATTTCCTCCGTTTCTCCAAGCTGATCTTCGCACAGGACTTCCCAGCAGGAATCCCTTCTCTGAGTCCTCACTCCCTTCCCAGTTCCCCAAGCGCCAGGAAGCCCTCCCCCATTACACCCTCCGAGGTCTGAGCCACCCCATTTCCCAGCAGAGAAGGTCTGGGCCCCTGGCGGAGCTCCCAAGCCTGGCTGAGAAGCTACTGATTGGAAAGGAGGAGGGCAGAGAGGTCCGGAGGCCCCCCCTTCTCTGCCCCAACACGACTCCAGGCAGCTGGGACTTCGTGCTTCCTGGGGGTCTGCACTAGCTCAGGGGGGCTGTAAATTTGCTTCTTGGAGAGTCGATCTGAACCGCCTGCTGGGACGACTCCAGCTTGTCTCCACCCCCGCCATCCCCTGGTCACGACTGTCCCTTTTCAGGCCTCGCCTCGGGCTCCGTGCTCAGGAAGTAGATGAAAGCCTCTCAAGCCCCGGCGAACCCAGAGCTAGGTTGTCCAGGCACGGCTCCAGCAAGCATGCAGAAGACGAGGGGCTCATTTCCTCCCTCGAGGGCTCCCATTCTCTGGTTGAGGTGTCTGGAGTGGACAGACCACACAATGCCAGCCACACTTGCGCGAGGACCACAGACAGGCAACATGCCAGGTGCCTGCTGGCACCAAGGTGAACAAGACCTGTCTATATTTTGTCCTTTGCTCTCTCCTCCGATTAACAGAGCACCTATGCTGCATGGCTCCAGAGAACACCATTCTCATCAGGGTCCAAATGAATGGCGGCCCCTGGAGTTGTGCAGTGCTCAACCTTGACAGCTGTACATGGTGGCCCCAAGAGGGAAGGCTTGAGGCATAAAGTAGAAGTGTTAGTCACTCAGTTGTGTCTGACTCTTTGCGTCCCCATGGACTGAAGCCCACCAGGCTCTTCTCTCCATGAAATTCTCCAGGCAAGAATATGGGAGTGGGTTGCCATTCCCTTCTCCAGATGATCTTCCTGACTGAGGGGTCGAACCCAGGTCTCCCTCACTGCAGGCAGATTCTTTACCATCTGA